TTTCTATTAGTTCCAGTAGTTTTCTCATGGAGTCTTTTGGGTTTTCTATGGATAGTATCATATCATCTGCAAATAGGGACAGTTTTACTTCTTCATTACCAGTTTGGTTGCCCTTTATTTCTTTTTCTTGCCTTACGGCTCTAGCTAGGACTTCCAGCACAGAGTTAAATAGGAGTGGTGATAAAGGGCATCCTTGTCTTGTTCCTGTTCTCAAGAGGAATGTTTTCAGCCTCTCTGCATTAAGAATGATGCTGGCTGTTGGTTTTTTATAGATGCCCTTTATTATGGTTGAGGAATTTCCCTTCTATACCTATTTTATTGAGAGTTTTTTTTTATCAGGGACGGGTGTTAGACTTTGTTAAATGCATTTTCTGCGTCGATTGAGATGATCATGTGATTCTTTTCCTTCCTTTTATTTATGTGGTGGATTAGGTTGATTGATTTTCTAGTGTTGAACCATCCTTGCATACCTGGTATGAATCCTACTTGGTTGTGGTGTATTTTTTTGATATGATGCTGAATTCTATTGGCTAGAATCTTGTTGAGAATTTTTGTGTCAATATTCATGAGAGATATTTGTCCGTAATTTTCTTTTTTTGTGATATCTTTTCCTGGTTTTGGTATCAAGGTTATGCTGTCTTCATAGAATGAATTCGGAAGTATTGCTTCCTTTACTATGTTCTGAAATAGTTTGAGTAGTACTGGTATAAGCTCTTCTCTGAATGTTTGGTAGAATTCTCCAGTGAGGCCATCTGGGTGGGCCAGGGCTTTTTTGTTGGGAGTTTTTTTTTTTATTATTATTACTTTTCAATCTCTTATTATTGGTCTGTTCAGATTTTCAACATCATTTTGTGTTAGTTTGAATAGGTAATGTGTTTCTAGAAATTTATCCATTTCCTCTAGGTTTTCAGATTTGTTGGAGTATACTTTTTCATAATACTCTGTCATGATCCTTTTTATTTCAGTTAGTTCTGTTGTAATATCCCCCATTTCATTTCTTATTTGGGTTATTTGCATCCTTTCCTGTTTTTCTTTCATCAGTTTGGCCAGTGGCTTGTCGATTTTGTCGATCTTTTCAAAGAACCAACTTTTGGTTTTGTTGATTCTTTCTATTGTTTTTCTATTCTCTATTTCATTTATTTCTGCTCTCATCTTTATTATTTCCTTTTTTTCTGGTGGCTGTGGGCTTCTTTTGCTGTTCTCTTTCTGTTTGTTCCGGTTGTGTAGCTAATGTATTGATGTTGTCCCTTTCTTCTTTTTTGATGTGTACATATATTGCTGTAAATTGACCTCTCAGCACTGCCTTTGCTGTGTCCCAAAAGTTTTGGTATAATGTGTTTTCATTCTCATTTGATTCTAGGAATTTCTTGACTCTATCTCTGATTTCTTCTATTACCCAGTAGTTTTTAAGCACAGTGTTATTCATTTTCGATGTAATTTTTTTTTTCCTTGCTCTTCCTGTTGTTAATTTCTACTTTGATAGCATTGTGGTCAGAGAAGATACTTTGTATTATTTCAATGTTTTCAATTTTGTTGAGGGTTGCTTTGTGGCCTAAGATGCGGTCTATTCTGGAGAATGTTCCATGTGCATTGGAAAAGAATGTGTAGTTTGCAGCTGTTGGGTGGAGTGTTCTATGTATGTC